GTGCTCTAGCAAGGAGCAAAACTTCAGCATCATGACGGAGGCACAACTACTGTCAAACAGCAATATCCGAAAATAATCCCAAGATCAATCTACCAAGATATGATTCTAAGTTTAGGCAGACCATACATACTTTGTCGGTTTTGCTCCTGATGCTTACCCCCCTAAATCATCCTAAATCAGGATTCCTCAGAATCAAAACATTTTTATCACAGTGCTTCCAAGATCGAGAACGCCGGTGACACATGCAATGGGTCGCAGCGGCACCAGGGTCTTCACACCTGATGCGTTGTTTGCATCCAACCTGGCAGGGCCGAGCGAGTGTAGCCCAAACAAGACCCCAAAGGGTTCATTAAAACACATTGGTACTATATGCACATTGGTACGGTATGCACACCTCATCCTCCATCCGACCATGAGTCGCTGGGCCCGCTTGAACTTGCCGATGTCAAGGATAGAACCAAAGTTCTTATGCGTCATAGATCCGGCCACCTTGTCCTTTTTGGTCTTCTTCTTTTTGGGTTTCCCATCCTCCTCCCGATCATGCTTGGGAGGATCGATCACAAAGACCAGCGGTTTGTCCTGCTCGATCTTGTCTGTCGAGGAGAGGACATGATGAGTCACAGCCAACTTGACCTGACAGGGAGGGGTCTGAGTTAAGGGAAGGGATCTCTGATGAAGTGTCTTTGAGCCCCGAATTCAAACTATTATCCATGTCCCATTTTTAAAGCATGTCATGGCTATGGCCATGTTTGGGTGTCTTCGATGAAACAAGAGAGAATCTTACTTTGGTATACTGTGGTCATATTAGCTATTCTCAAGCCACACCTCTCCAGCATCCTCGAGCTGCCGGATGATCGTGGACAAAGGTGTTGGCGAGTCCACACATGGCAAAGAAGCCACATGATCTGCCAAATTCTTTTTCTCTAGGATCATCACCGTGTCAAGAGTCACATTGAAAGAGAACCATCTCCCGCAGCTGTCGGCCATGATTTCAGTTGCATCCTGAGTGGGGGACAACATCGATACAGGATGATATAGGTCTAAAAAATCACCATGCCCACATACAGTGCCAGTGCAAGTATCCCTAAACCATGTGAATCCCAGGGTCGGCATTCACCCTCCAATCGCCGCTGCCAAAGCTGAACCTGTGCGGACCAGTCATTAGGGAAATATAGGGAAATGATTGGACACCCATAGCCAGATTGACATTAAAAACAGCTGGTGGTGCTGGCTGTGTGCAGGCAAGAAGCAGCTCACGATGCATAAGAAACTGGTTTTTCCCCCGGGACACGAGGAACAGCGGAGCTCCATCTTGGCCACATGCCATTTCAGCGCAGTTGTTGATTTGGAAGATGTACCTTATTATTCAAATCACACAGCGGGTCTTGGAAGGACAGAAATTTGGAGTACCCATGCCAGATGGAAAGGAAAGCTGACTTGGAGTTTTTAAATTCCGGGTATAGGGAATTTATCAGTTCCCAAATCCACCATCCAAGGGACGGTTTTTGAAGATTGGCAATGTCAGCCTCCTTGCCAATCTCTGAGTCTTCCAGTTTGATCCGCTTGAGAGGAGATCCAAGATCATCAGCTTCAGTGGTCCTATCCCAGGCGCAGCACGGGCTTTAGAGGGGTTTGAGGGGTCCTAGGGTACCTGTTGTGGAACCTCCCAACGTGCAGACAACTGTTTAACCCACAAGCCCGCCTCTCAGTCTCGTGCCAATATTCACCGTCAACATTGAACTGTTTGTTGTGTGCCTCTAGAATGGCAACTGTCTCATCCTTGAACTCGGTCTCCATCCATTTGGCCGCCAATGCTTGAAGAACTACAAGGCGATCATGTTTCTTCACACATACCTCGTACTTCTTTTCCTGATCATCCGGCTTCACTTGCTGGATTGCCTGGATGAGAGGTGCAAAAGAAGGGAAGCCCACAATCTTCAATTGCTCCGCCCTGCAACTCTCATAGACCTTGTTCGCGATCCGCTGAACCATCGTGTCAGGCTGCTTGTCAAGAACCACACTGCCACAAAGCAATCGGCGACCTGCAGCACACTCCTGGCTGGCGAGATGGACTGCCGGAAGGGACCGTTGGCTTTGGTTTTGATCCTGAAGTTGTTATGATAGGGAACAGCCTCGTTTTGTCATTAATGTTTTAGACAATTCTTTGATAATACCAGCGCAAGCATGTAAACACATGTAAACTACAAACTTTAAAGAACAAAACCTTCATGTGTATGATGAACTGGTTTGCTTTCATGAAAGCAAAAACGCAGGGACAAGACACAAGATACAACTGTTGGTTGGACAAACCTCAGCGGGAACATGTTCATTTAGCATGAAGGTCAACATGATTGATATCATTTAGATAGCAACTTCTTGTAAATGTGAAAAAAAAACTACAAATGTGTGGCCCTAACGGGATGTCCTCCAACGCTGCAAGTGCTGGCCAGCAGTCGTAACAGTGCAGGTCGATGACCAAGGTTGTGCTAACCGAGTCTGGCAAAAAGGTCCCAAGGGTCTTCTTGACAAAGTCTGTTCCGCCAGCGACCTGGGTTTAGGCTAGCACTTTTGACACATGCGCGACACCTTTTACATCATTTGTTTTGACACCTCGTTTTGACACTTTTTGACACACCTAGTCACCTAGCATTTTGACACCAATTGGTTGCTGAGGGGCCTGTCTCAGTTCTTGGGCATCTGTGAAAGCCCTGCCCAAGTGTGGTGTCGATGTAGTGGCCTGGCAGGGCTGGACCAAAAAGAAAAGGGAAGCATGGAAAGTTGAGCCTCAACCATAAAACTAAATTAAACTAACGGAAAGTGGTGTGTGACATTGTGACACTCAACTGCACCAGCTAGGTCCAAAATGATGAAACCCACTTCATTCAAAGCAGGCCTCCGGCTTGTACATCTGCGAGCGTGGCAACATGGCGACATCACGGATGAGACCGTGTTTCCACCCAGATGTCCCCCTGAACATGTTCAGCTTGTCGCGGTGCACCACTGCCAGTCCAGCAACGCAAGCGTCCCGCTTGCCATAGACCGAAGCCTCAAGCAATAGGTCATACAAGTACAAAGTTGGTCATACAAGTTCTCTTGCGGAAACACCGCACATTTGACAAGAAAAATAACAATAAATAACATTACTAAGAAAATAACATATATGCATATACAGCATCATTGGCATAGTGCAAACACACATACTATTATATATGTATGGCCATATGGCACCAGAAAACAATATATCATATATCCTTGCAAACAAAAGGTGCCCCTATTAAAACTGAAAGATAGTTGACAGCTAAAGTTCATCATCAATAAGGTTGGAGGTCAAGAATTGTTGAACATGTTTCTTGAGGCAAAAACATGTCACATGTAATACTTCAACAACTACCTCCGCACATACAAACTTACAATTTGGGAAACAAGCAGCCTGGTCAAATACCCAGGTCACGTTCTTGACGCACAGATTCCGGTCTTTTGCAGCAAGAGCTTTCCTCAACATTCACAAAGGACGAACTAAGCAGGAAAATAGATACAACATCAACATCCTGGAAACGAAAGAAAAGCAAACCTCTTCCCAGTGCTCATTTAAGTTTCTCAAGCTTATGCCGCACATCCCTGATGTCGGCTTCCTCAGGGTTCTCTGGATCAGCCTCCTCCGAGTCACCATCGGTCTGGTTGTCGCCACCCTCCTCATCGTCCGGTTCTTCCTTCTTCGCTGTGGTGTCATCCTCGTCCTTCTCGGTCTTTTCGATCTTTGAACTGGATTTCCTGCAAAAGCGGACTCATTGTTGCCGAGATCCCCCAATCTTCCCGAACTTATCACTAGAAAATTTGGTCACATTTTACAAAACAAATAAGTCTTTTAGTCGGTGGGTCCTGCCAGTGTCAGAAGCACGGTTGCCGTGGACAACAATCGCGATGGAATTGCGTTTGTGTGATGCCAAGATGTTCGACACGGCTGTCATAAAGAAGTCCATTTTGGCAGCCGGAGTGACTCCGGAGGTGGGCAAGTTGAGCCATACCACAAGACAGTGGTCACTCGCACTGCGAACTTCCTTCGGGTGGCTAATGAATCCAAAAACGAGGTCTGATCCAAAACAAGTTTACTATAGTCATGCTTGCGCGCGTGCTAAATGTTTTTGGAAACATATATAAAGAGGATTACACACTAACTAGGACAAGCGTCAGGAATTGCATTGAGTGCATCATGCACCCATGTGGTGATAGAAGGCAGGATTGTGGATTCTGCTTCCAAGGACCGGCCGGTGAAGGTGTGAAGGTTGTTCTCCATGTACTCCTTGATGTGGTTCCATGCTTTCTCATGCATGACCTGCCATGGGTGCTGTAGGCATCCCTGTCCAACCGCGGTCATGGATTCGCTCAAATGGATGGTGGATGCCTTTTGAATTGTTTTCAAGTATCCCGTATTCAACACCACAAAAGTTTAGTTCTCACAAAAGGGGTGGCGGTGATTGTGATATGGCTTGGATGAAGCCCCCACCTCAAGCTCAGCGACCAGTTTTTGTCGACGTTTGGAGTGCTCCTTCTCACTCCTCGGTCCGCAGGACTGGAAGAGGCAGAAGGAGGCAGAGGAGAACCCAGGACCGGACAAAAGTGGGTGTGACTTTCATAGTGGGAGATTAATGTTCATAGTGGGTGTGACTTTCTTGGGAACCAAAGCTGCACTACTTACTAACTTATATTATGATTACAGGAGCTGGTGTAGTTGCCGGCAAGGAAAACAGATATGATTACACAGCCTTGCAACTCAAGCTGAATCGGACCCCCTATCAAATTGCACCGGTGATGATGAAATAAGATATGCTAAGTCATCCGGGTTGTGTCGACTTTATGGCCATTCAAATACTCTGTCGAGGTAAGAATACATCATCAGCTGCCATGATCATAACAGTAACAATGCAAAGCAGAAAACCAAATCCCGATTCTACATGGTCACATCATCATCACCCTCATCATATCCGTTGTTTTCATCTTCCGCATCAACATCGCCACCACCACCAGCATCATCATCATCATCATCAAAATCAAAACAATAATAATAATCATCATCATCATACACATCATCATCATTGATCATGATCAGAAGATTTGATCATCATGACCCTCAGATTTGATCATCATCATCATCATCATCATCATCATCATCAACAGCATCATCAGCAGCATCACCATCATCATTGTTTTTGCTTCCTATGCCAAATCACGATATTTGCAATATGTTCTTCTTCATCACCACCAACATGATTTTTCACAACAAGCAGATGCAGGGAAACATTATTTTCATACATGCATCTACAGAACGACCACTTAACAAAGACAGGACCAGAAGTGTGGTAGAAAGGATCAGAATCAAACAGAGACCTATCATCAGCACCACCCACACAGCACAGTCATCATTGGTGAGAACAAATCCAAGGTCCAACGTCATAATAACGATAATAATAAGAATACTATATAATAGCTATGGTAATCAGCACTGGCCTCACAAACTTTCAGCATCTGCATCCCCCACACCACAATATCAACATCAGCCTCTCTCATTATCATTAGCATCTTCAGCCAGCATCTTCACAATCATCCACAGTCATCTGAGCTGGACAGAAGGGACTGGGACACTACAGCCGACTATGATTGGCCATCATAAGTGTCCGTTCATTTTTCATCAGCGCGATCCCCATCCTAGCCATCATCATCATGACCATCATGGGTCATCATCACCAATATATCAGCATCACATTGGAGGTCAACAGCGCCAAGACCAACAAAGCTGACTCATATCCCTAAGTAATTGGTGTTCAGTTTTCCATAGCTACAGGTGGCCGGAAACATAGATAGTGTTAAATTGGTTTGTTGAAGGCTAGAAAAATTTGACCTATTGACTCACTCTTTGCGACTTATCATGTGGGATCACCCCTGGATTCAACACTGTCAATGAAATGGTTCCTCTAGGATCAGCCCTTCCCTCACACCGTGTGGCACCCACGTATATGCGGACATGCAGCGCAATCTTTTCAGACTGAAAAAGGACTTGGTCAGCTTGAAGTAGCTCTTTCCAAACGTTCCATGCCGCTTGGAGAGATTTGCTGTGAGCATTGCGCGTTCTGTCTTGAGACTTGCTGATGAAGTCGTCCACGCACACCCCACGAATCTGCAGGGAATGTTGAGTGCACATAGGGAAGGAACCCTTGCGGGACATGCTTACCTATATGTTGACACTTATAATATAAATATAAAGAAACGGTGCCTTAATAGTTATAACATCAAAATGTTTACCAAAACATTCATGGCCTCGAGAACGAACGGGATGCGCTCCCACTCGAATGGTTGAGCAGCTTTCATCACCCCAGCAAGATCTGCATCTAGCGACCTAAATTTGTTGGATGCAGCTGGACCAAAATCTAATAATGTGTTTTTTCATTGTTTCATTCTTGAAATTGTTAAAATCTGAAAAACACCAAAAATCAATCATTTGTTGGGGCTCATGTCTATCATCAAGATTGTGACGGGATCCTGTGAAATCCCTTGATAATCTATATGGTGTTGGACAGGGTCAATCACAGTCGTTTTTACAAAACCAAACTTCTCAATGTGACTACCCCTACCTTCACTTTGCATAGGTTGTGACGGGATTCTGCAGGATCCAGTCACATTTTCCCCTCAGCGATATATGGCGGTCGGTTGATTGGTTTTTTATGTTTTTTTAAACATTTTCAGAATTTTGGTTAAACAGATTTGGCGGCAGCCAAGTGGTTTCAACAATTTGTGACGGGATTCCACAGAATCCAGTCACACTCCCCCCCCTGAATTTGGCCACAGCCAAGTGGTTTCAACAATGTGTGACGCCTTGAGTCTGCAGTGGGTCCAAATTTGCATTCCAGAAACCAGAACTGTGCTAGTCATGATGATCAAACTTGTAAGTCCCCCTCCCAGTGCTACTCAAGGCCAAATACACCGAGGTGCCCTTTCATGAACAATTCCACGTGTTTGTCCACGACATCACCTGGAAATTCAGCCTGGAGCTTCGGCACCAGATACAAGAAGAGACAGCAGCTGTCGTACAGGAGCATGTG